TTAAATAAATTACTAAAGTACACAAAAACAGTATATGAGTACTCAGACAATACTCAAAATTATACGGCGAGTACTCGAGAGTCGTACTCAGATACTCAAATTTTCAGCACGGGTACTCGATGGTCGTACTCAGATACTCAGATTCTAGTACGAGTACTACCGATGAGTACTCAAAACCCATGAGTACTCGCGGCATTTTCTAGCGTGAGTACTTTTTGAGTACTCTCTTGATGAGTACCTTCACTAGGGTAGGATTTAAAAGAAGCAAATTTAACAAGAATTCAAGTTGAATCACATGGAATTATAAAAGATAATCCTAATGTTGGATAAAAAGCATTGAAAGGTTTGTTTTATTTCAATTTCAATTAGATGTTCTATGGCGATTTGACGAATCAGCAAATGTAATACATTCGAAAAAGATTCAACTATTTTATTATTAGAATATAATGAACTTATTTTTTATATTCTTGATTGATCAATTAATGATGAAAAAATCAAAGTAAGTAAAAAAGAAAATTCTTCTCATCTAAGAAACCTCTTCTAAAGAAGTAATCAGAAAAAAGTTATGCGATTGCTCTAGTTAATCGACAACTTCTGAGTCCATTTTTAGTTAAAACTTAGAGCAGGAGAGGATATTTTTCAGATAATGTAGAATAGGTAGTCTCATACTATTTGACGAAATACCGATTGAGAAACTGTCCATCATTTGCAGTAATAATAATCAAATTTTATTTATCATTAAATATCAATGAGAAATGAAATAAATTAGTCATAGTTGATTCACTAGCAATCGTTATAGTTAAGGTATGAAGTCGAGTGAGAATGAATTTTTCTTTTTTTTTCCTAATGTTAACAATAAATAATTTTCAGGAACCTCTCATGTCCTATTCAGTCAATATGTTATCCTATGATTATAGCACGTTTTCTAATGATAAATGTAATTGGTAAGTTTTCTTTCAAACAATTATTTCAATCAATTATAATTTGTCTTTTATTTTAACAGATCAATTATTTGAGCATTATAATCAAAATCATAGTAAAATTTTAATAATTGGTTATCTTAAATTAAATATCAAAAAATTTCAATCATCATCAAGAAAAAGTCAACGATCAATAATAAGAACTAGAAATATTGGTAGCAACGAACAACATCTTTCAATCAGTATTTGACAAATAATGAATGATTTTATTTTCTATGTAAATCTTTATTTTTTAATATGTTGATATGATATTTTATATTTGTTTACAACATAAAAGATCATAATGTAATATGAAATTCATTGGAAACACATGAAATTATATTTAAATTTATTTGATTTTGATGAATTATTAATTTCAATTCAAATTGGATCTATAAAAGTAACTTGTATTAGTCACACATTAAACACAGGTAAATATTGTGAAAAGAGAACAATAAGTTTTTTTTTTCTAAAATAATAGATTATTCAACATATCAACGTTGATCTATTGAAATGAATAAACAACACGACATTTTAGTATATAAAATGAATGATGAATTATATTCAAAATCAATGATTAATAATGAAAAACAAACATCAGTTGCTAAACTTGTTAATCAACTATGTTTTTTTTTCCAATTAGACATTTGCTCAATGTGTTAATAATTTGATTATCCAACTGTAAGTATGTTTAATGCTTGTTTGAGACTTTTTTTTTGTAAAGTTTCAGTTCAGTAAAATACATTTATTTTATAATCCAAAATTATTTCCAATGTTGTAACAGTAGGAAGACTCAGATGAATAGGATAAATCTGATGGAGGAGCTTGTAACAGAGTTTAGTTAACGTGGCTTCAGTTGGCTATGGTCTCAAAGTTTTAGTGAAAGTTATCTGATAGATATGGAGATTTTACTATTGAATTGTTGAAACAAAACAATATGAAATTTTAATCTTTTTGGAACCAACAAAAGACTAGAACATTATCAGACTCGAAAATATATCAAGTGGAACACTTTACTAAATAGGTTAGACATACAAAAGTTTTAGAGTCTAGAGGCTGCATTTATATATCAGAGATTGAAATTATACAGTCACATAACCATCTCAAAAACAAAGTTCGAAGCTAAAGTACGAATTCTGTACATATCTAGTACGAAAGAGATATTTGGTTTTTCATTACGATATGAAATCAATTGTACTCTCGAATGCTTGTAATACATTAAAATCTATCGAACATCGAGATACCTTTCTTTTTTCTTTAAGATATTACATATCTTTTATCTTTATGTGAACACGGCGATCTGCATTTATGTGATACATATGCAAATTTCTTTCCTTACTACATTAATTAAAAAGAACAATTCTTCTTTTAAGACTATTATCATTATCAAATTCATTTAATAATTCTTTTATTAATGAATATTCACTTGTATCAATTGATTCACAAGTCAGGTCAAGGTTAGATTAGAATATTAAATCGTCTCTCGTTTTTGATAAAAATATTTTTTCTTTTTGTTTTTAAATATATTCAATTAGGTATATTAGCAGAATTACTTTCTACATTTTGATTATGTCTTTAGGATAATAATACACATGTTATACATTTACAATCATAGGAATTGAATTATTAGAAGATTCTACTCAACATAGTACAAGTTCTTATATTCTTGCTAAAGTAGACAAATGAAACTTATGATTACAATAAACTGTTTATGTGTATAAAATAGGTTGCTCTAGCTCAAATTGTGCGTAATATTGATTTTCTCGAATACTAACTTATCTTGAACAACAACACTAACAGATAAAAAAAACAGTAAATTAAAACTAATCACATATAGAAGATAAAAGCAATATCTTGGTTTTTTTTTGTTTTACTTTTATTTTTAGAATCGATCATGACTTGATCATTGTATTGACATTATCTTTCTATTTCTTATTGAAAATGATACAAGTGTTCGTCCAGCAGCTACTTTAACTTTTGCTAAGTATGTCAATTGTAGAGATGTTAGTTAACTAGATAGTTTTATTTTCGAAGTTGAATGCATCAGTCGATTTTATTGTATTAAGTTAGTTGTTAGCTACTTTTTGATTTTAAGGTTTGTTGATCACAATTCATTTTTTTAGTATATCAATGGATGCATAAAATTCATTATTCATTACAACAAACAAATATTTCTGTAATTATATTCAATGATGGAGTGCAATGTGAAACAATATCATGTTTACCAACATTAATATTTGATTATTTAGCTCAAACATCAACTCGAATATAAATTGTTTGTTATTTTTGTCTTTTATATAAGTTGGATGTTTAGAAGGTATTTATGCTCTTTCAAATGTTTTAGGATCAACAATAATTCGATCATTTTTTTTCATAATCAATATGATGAACTTTGTTTAGTTATACATCTAT